TCGACATAGCGAACACTATGTCAACTTAATTTTTTAACCTGTTCTGTAGTTATTTTGTTTCTTGATTCTCTATTTTTTTCACAAAATCCGTTTTTTGTTTTTTTTTCTAATTTTGTTTTTTGTTCCTTTATTTTTTTCACAAAATTCGGTGAGCATATTAGTATTTTTTTATTTATTTTTGTTTATATGGTTGATTACAAAAATAACAAAATGACCAAAAAATAAAGTTGGCGTTATGAACTAACTATCAATGGTCAGAATTTCATTTCATTGTAAGAACTCTATAAATATTCGATTATTCAACAGATATGCTACGTCGTACTCTGCTAGCGATCTACCAAAACGGCCTCTCTCCGAGTACAAATCGAAGATATTTTCTAATACCTGTCCCGGAAATGTTTTCAACAGGTTGCTACTTGACTATTGAACATTTTGAGACTCTTGATTGCCCATTTTTAACCGACTTCAAAAACAGGAGGAGGTTCTCAATTCGTCTGTTTTTTTTTGTATGTATGTTACGCGATAACTCCGCAATTTGTGAATCAATTTTGATGATTCTTTTTTTGTTGGAAAGATGAAGAATTTCAAGAAAATATTCCACTTCTAAGGGTGGCAAACTAGGGGATGAATGACTTTTGAGGTCGGATTTTTTAACCGGGGGTTAGGTTATAGAAATCAATGTCGCGAACATCTCTGCTCTCGTTATTATAACTAACGTAAACGACATTTTTAACGAAGTTGAGTTACTAACGTCTATCAATTATCAATAATCAATAACATCAATCCGACATTAGCAATACGAGATGTGCAACCCCGTATAAGCGTTTTTTATATTCTAATTAGTTTCAGTTTTATTGTTAAGAGTCTGTACTATCTTTGAATTTTTTCCCGTTTTTTTTTAATTACTTTTACATGATACGGGTCATTTTGCTTGTGTAGAGCGACAGGGAAATTGATTTTATTTCAGAATTTAATTGTTACAAACGAAATTAAAGCCATTTGAAAAATGTATATCGTATACTATACGTATTCTATTTAGTTCAGTTGATATTTAAAAAAAAATCATTCGTACCTATTGATACAGCGGTTTTCTTTTAAAATTTCGAGATAAGTTTGCGTCTTTTTCTATCGTTAAAATTTTTAGGAATACTGTTTTCACACCGTATTTTTCCAGATTGACTCAACACTTTCACTGTTATACGGAATCAACCAAATCATTTGAGGTAGTATAGACTCTTGCAAAATCAGCGTAAATCGGCGTTATTTCGGAGAAAAAGCTTTTGGTGCCAATATCTCGAAAGTCACCAAAATGCAAGTGCGTTAGTTATCCAAGCAGATCTTTGTATCATGGTGGTAAAGTGGTTGTGGTTGGCATATGACTGATTACAGTGGTAATCGGTAAACCTTTTTATGCCGATTTAAACGTGCGTTTTTACATTATTTCATTTTTATTTTCCTTTCACAAGACGTGCTGGAATGTCAGAATTAGATTTAATGTAGGTATTGTCTGGTGACCGCTACAAATGCCATTCATTATAAATGCCTAACTTAAATAATTTCCTTGAATCCATGACGATTTTTTTTTTTTTCAGAAAAATTGAAATCAAGAATAGAGATGTTGAAAAAGTGTTTTGTCTCTCCTTGCCACCGTATTTGGGCGAGGAGATGGACCCAATTCACGGCGGCATACTGTTGGTTGAAGGAAAACTCGTAGGTTTATACTTGCAGGTTAGTGATTTTTCATATAGTTTGTTTAAATGAACAGAAAGAAATGGTTTTAAAGGTTATTGTCTAGACAAACCTTGAAGGTAGGCATTATAGTGTAATTGTATGTGGATCGTGGTATATGTACAATACTATACTATATAATGATTTATGATTTTATGCCAAGTATTTAATAATCTACTGGAAATTTTAGAATTCTGTAATGATATGTGTGTGGTAGTTCTATTCCTTTTGAACATGGCAAGTTGTAGCAGAATATTAGCGATGCTGAGAAACACTCCGACATTGATCGAGAAAGTAGACCTATTGTACCGAAAGGGCCATTGTGCTCAACTTACAGACCTTGTTATCTCCCACCACTATTGTCTGGTACTAAACTCTGTGTACAAATAGTAGCTTATTTTTTATTGATGTGGCGAGATAAATAAACGATAATTATAATTTTTTTGTAGCAGTAGAGCTCCTTGTAAAAGAGTTCGACCAAGGAAGTACTGCCACCTTACCTATTTCTGCCGCTGTAATGCTGCCGTGCTTACAATAAGAACTGTAAGACTATATGTATTTCAAACATACTTACTTTTAATATTGTAAGCACGGCTGAATGTGAGTATTACTGCGTTCCGGTTTTGAAGTGTAAAGGTGCTGGTGAAATTACAGGCACATAGGACTTGTCAACTTTTGTCTCAAGTTGATAGGCGCAGTGGCAGTGCCCCTCAGATCTTTGTGATTTAAGACGCTGAATACCGTCAATTACGCTTCACTTTCAAGCGTTTTAGCTAGATCTGTTCAACTTGTGGGAGTGATAAAATGTGTATTATTCTCATTGACTTACAATTATATGGACGTCGGGTCCGCGCTAAAAAGTGTCCGAACCTATAGGGCGTTAAAATCGTATACAGAGCGTCATTCACGCTTTAGTCTTCGTTTGTTTCTTCTGACAGCGTAGCAAGCAAAATTAGACAGTACTGCGATGACATTACAATTTGAATTCAACGTTTTAGCTTTTTCATATTCCTTTACAT